GTTTAATGCTCTACAGCTGAGCTATTACATGCTCTACAGCTGTTCTGAGTTCAAACGGGTTATTTTAGGATCAGAACATCCTGTAAGGTTAAAGAAAAAACAGCACCAGAATGCTTACAGTCAGAACAATCTGTTTCTAATCCAAAACAATTACTTTGTGCAGAAAGCAGTTCAAACTCAAAATGATTAGCATACCTCTAGCTGTAATATATATGTAGAAGATCTAGTTTTGCCATTATCTCCAACCACAATTAGTAATTGGGGGGCAAATTAAAAGGGACTAAGCCTCTTACCTAGTGGCTATGTTTGCATAACATACTGAATCACAAAGGAGCCGATCACATTTATAAACCCATCTTTTGTGGTTACTTTTTGGTTCTATGTGTCATGGGGACTCAAAAAATTTGGGTAGTTCAATAAACCATGATAAGCATATCATGCAATTCTGGTAAGAAGAGTTGAGACACTCAAGAAAATGGCAAGAGGGTGATAGAAGAGATTTCTACTCAAACATCTATCTCCCCATCTGCCTTTCTCTTTTCCAAGGATGTTGGAACACATGCCTCTGTCAATTGTTATTTTCTACTCAATTTTCCTGCAGCAGTTGGAAGAAGGGGTCAGTAAAAAGAAAAGAATTTACAAAAATATAGAGAGGGTTTTTTCTCCCCTTATGAAGAATTCAAAAGAAAGTGTGGTGGCAGGGTATGCTGTACAAAAGGAGAAAATGACTTTTTCTGTTTTTTTCTCTCCTGCCCAAATATGATTTATTATGCTGTTTTCTGTTTGGAATGGAAAAAAGGCAGGAGACTTAGCACACATCCATTGTTTTCCAGCCATTTTAGCAAAATATAGAAGAAAGAAGTATATAGCTCTCTTTCATGCAGCTCTCTGCTTTGACCCCTCTCTTTAAAAGCACATAAGCCAAAGTCTGCTTCTCTTTATTATTTTACTGCATATCTCACACCCCCATCCATTAGGCACACAAGGTGAGTAACAGAATTAAAAAATAAAGATAAAAATAGATAAGCATTAGTTTCAAAAAGCAGCTAAATTAATCATCATTGGATTTCAAAAGGCATGGTTGAAGAAGAGGGCCTTTCCTGAATGTGGAATGGGGGGATAAATGCACTCCCAAGAAATGTATTCCTTAACATTTATTTTATTTTATTTATTTATTTAAGCAATTTATATGGCTGCTCAACTCACTCACGGTGACTCTGGGTGGTTTATAGGAATAAAAATCCCAAATACAAAACCCACTCCATGCACCCCTGGCGACAATACATTTTCACTAGCCATTTGATGGGCTCCGGGTTGACCTGGGATTCCAGGCCTGTTGGCAAAACCATGTCTTCAGGGCCTTGCGGAAGAGCATCAAGGTGAGGGCCAGTCTTATCTTTGCGGGTATGATGTTCCACAGGGAGAGAGCCACCACAGAGAAGGCCATTCTTCTAGTTCCCGCTAGATTTTTTTTTTTTTTTTTTGTCTGCGCTCAGTCATTGGATGGACCTCCTCAATAGGGGGAACCCATCACATACCCTGCCTCCCCAATTTGGTAGGTCAGGCAGATGAAACTGGGAAAAGGCGGCCCTTCAAATAACCTGGCCCCAAGCCATGTAGGGCTTTAAAGGTGACAACCAGCACCTTGAATTGGACCTGGAAGGTAATCGGCAGCCAATGCAGGTCCTGCAAGAGTGATACGTGTGCAAATCTAGGCACAAAACTATGCGGGCTGCCGTATTCTGAACCAACTGAAGCTTCTGGATACTTTTCAAGGGCAGTCCCATGCAGAGTGCATTATAGTAGTCAAGACGGGAGGTGACTAGGGTGTGTGTGACTGTGAGCAGGGTCTGTTGATGCAGGAAAGGGCCCACAGTTGCACAAAGGCCCTCCTGCCACGACTGCCACCTGCTCATCGAGCAGGAGTTGCGAGTCCAGGAGAACCCACAGATTCTGTCTGGGGCAGTGCACCCCATCCAAGACCAAAGATGGTAATTCTCCATGGACCAAAGAACCCCAAACCCAGAGCTATTCTATCTTGCCAGGGTTCAGTTTCAACCCATTGCTCCCCATCCAGATCTTAACAGCCTCCAGGCACTGCGGAGGGAAGTCATGGCATCACTTAACTCACCATGGGCTGAGATATACACCTGAGTATCATCAGCATACTGATGATATCTCACTCCATGGTGATGGATGATCTCACCCAGCAGCTTCATGTAGATGTCAAACAGAAGCAGAGAAAGTACCGAACCCTGTGGAACCTCACAAAGCAGGGGTCAAGGGCTGGACCTCTAGCTCCGTATCAACACCGACTGGGAATGGCCACAGAGGAAGGCAGTGAACCAGGACAACGCAGTGCCCCCCACTCCCAACCCCTGAAGCTGTTCCAGAAGGATACCATGGTCGATGGTATTGAAGGCCGCCAAGAGGTCAAGTACAGTGAGGATGGGCACATTATCCCCATCTTGCTCCCACCAGAGGTCATCAAAAAGTGCGACCAATGCCATTTCCGTCCCATATCTAGGCCTGAACCCTGACTGAAAAGGGTTCAGATACTCAGTTTCATCCAAGAACCTCTGGAGCTGCAGCACAACCACCAACTCCTCAACAACCTTCCCCAAAAAGGGAAGACTGGAGACAGGACAAAAATTATCTCTCTTAAGAAGAGGGCGGACCACAGCCTCCTTAAAAGGTTGGGGCACTACCCCCTCCCCCAGAGAAGCATTAATCACCGCCAGAACCCACCCATGTCACATTCTGGGAGGCCTTCACCAGCCAGGAGGGACACCAGTCTAAAACACAGATGGTTGCACTCACACTCCCTAGGATCCTGTCCACTTCCTTGAGAGCAATAGGATCAAACTGTTTCCAGATAACTGAGCAAGAGCCTGCCCTAGGCACCTCCACTTCTCCCATTCTTCCCTTCCTGAGAACAAGCATCAGAGAACAATGACTATTTGAAACAATAAGCAGCAGAAAAGGGGGACTGAAGTTTCTTATGGGTTTGAAATAACCAGACAAACCATCAAGTCACAGAGCCAGCAGTGTCCACTAGTGGGGGGGGGGACTGTCAAAAAAGTGGGATGCTGGTGTGATGCAAATTGTGCCCACCATCATGCCTTTTTTTACCTCTCTGTATGGATTCCACTGGTCATAGTGGCTTATTCCCCGCCGCCAAAAAGATGGTGTGCTTCAAATTTGGAGTTTCACAACAGATTCCAGAATCAAGAGAATGCAAAACAGATACTTTGCTGATTTCTTTGGATGTACTTACATAGCTTAGCGAAAATGGCATTGATCACACACTGAATAAAGACTAAAGACAGAGCATATCTGAATTTCTCCTGCTTTGCTCCTTCCCCATATTTGCCTCTTGTACTGTTAGGGGGAAAAAAACACATATTGAGGAAGAATCAGTTACCAAAGATGCAATACTCATGAAGACATCTATATTACTTTCATGTATGGATTCAAAATTTACAAGGTTCAAAGAACATTTGCTTTTTTTCTCAGGTGTTGTAGCAATGAGTCAAAGGCAATCATGATATTTTCTCATGAAGTTAAATTCACTAAAAGGAAACAGAGCTAAAGAAATGCTCTTGCTAGACAACCTTTGTCCTTTAGAAGAATATGCAAACTATTGATTTTATTATTTTGATGGGATCTTCCCAGCGGGGCCATGAGATAGCAACTGATTAATAAAAGAAATATACTGACTGATATAAGAGAGAAGATCATATAATCTTCTATTTAAGGTGCAGGAGGATATAAAAAGAAATGATTTAAGACCAGAGAGTGAGTCATGTATTGGAAGAGTCAATATAAAATCTCAAGCCTCCTACAAATTAACTAGAAAAATCAAAGTACTTATTAAAAACCACATTTTTCAGAGCAACTTGAAGAATCCACTTACCTTTTTATACCATGGAACTGTAACTTGCTTTTTATATTTTTTAAAGTAAACCTTTTAAACTCAAACATGAAACAGATAGTCTAAAGTCTAACTGATGAATTAACACACTGCCAATTCCTCTTTGCAGGGAGATTTCTATGCCTTTAATAACCATATGACCGACACAATTTCAGTATAATTGTTTTTTTCTCCACTATCCATCCATAAGCAATAGTAGAGGAACAGCCATCTGTGGGATTTCTACCTGCTGCACAACTGTTAATGTTTAGGATTAAACTTTAATCATACTTAGACTAGATCCACTGAAACCAATGGACTTAATTTAGGCAGACTGTATCTGAACTACAGTAAACTCTCCACTGCCACCTGGACGTTCTGATTTTTACAGTCCAGATACAGTATAGTTAACAATATGATCTTGGTAAATTCAAATCCCAAAGTTCTTGCTGGATACCTTCTAAATGAAAAATCAAACCAAGACTGTCAGGAAGGATGACAGTAGGTTTCAAAAGAGGAAGGAAAAATCACCAGGTTCTTATCTGGGACATGGTAACCGGGCGTTTCCTTAAGAAGAAAAGGAGCTTAGACGGAGTGATCGGAGACAACACGTATTAGGGACACGGTATTTGGGAAGGAAGAGTTTCTCAGAAGGGGTAGCGAAATCTGCTCCCGAACGCCAGAACCAAAGGCATTTCAGCCGACCCTGGAAAGGAGAAGAAAGCGTTCTCCTCAGGCGACTTACATTGTCTCTTGCAGGACGCCGTACCAGAAGTAGCACACGAAGACGCCCAGACAGCAGAGGGGCAACCGCAGCCGCTCGGAGAAAAAACAAATCCCTCCGCCTCCTGACCCCCCTGTCACCCCCATGCCCGACCCTGGAGTAGTTTCGGGTCCAGACACCCTCAGCGGCGATAGCTCCACGCATTCATCTCGCACCGGCACCGACGGCGGCGGAAAAGAGGGCCTCATAGAGACGGGTGCGCCCTAGACTAAGGAAGGACCTGGCCAACTCCACATGGAGGTGTCTAATGTGCTGCCTGACAAGTCAGGCCCTGCTGAAGGGAGACTGCGAGGCGAAAAACAATTTCGGACAAGAATTTTTTTTTTCTTTTTCCCGTGCAGCGCTACGTCTCCATTTGCTTCTCCGTGCTGGAAACGAGTCTCTAGACGCTACGGAATTATACTGGGGCTTGGAAGGAATGAGGCGACCATTTTAGACGTCAGCCCGTCTGACTCGAGATTCGTGTCAGGTTTTCATTGCTGGTGGGGAGAGGTGGAACTAACGTTCCAGGGAGCAACGGTTGTTGGAGGCAGGACGGTGAAACAATAAAGATGGCAACGCAGCTGCCTGAAGGGCATTCGCTTTGTTGCTGTAGCAAATTGCTTCCAGCGTAGCAGGAATTATTTGCTCACAGGCAGTTGACAGTATGTTGTTACACAATGGCCGGATTCACTCAACGCGAAAAACCATTTCCTTAGTCATAATTCTTTGAACAAACCACAGTTGGTTGGGTTTGCACAACCCAGTACTCCAGAAAATTGTTTTACAGCCCACAATGAGACTTCGCACAACGCGCCAAGCCAAAACGAAACCAATCGTATTAATGGTTGGGGTCACAAGAAACAGCTAGGATGCCGTGTGTTGCCTCGCAGTGATATGCTATTTATAATGTATCAGCATCATGCCTAGTATGTAACCACTAAAAACTTCGTTTCCGTGAATTTCTCTAGTGCACTTTCAAAGCCATTTGACTGTATAGCCATCACAACATCCTATGGCAGAGAACTGCACAATTATAAACTTTGTGAATACTTCCGTTTGTTTTCAGTCTCCCAGCATTCATGTTCTTTGGATCACTGTGGATTCATCGTGAGGGAATTTTTTTCTCCTCAATGTTTATCCATATCATGAATAGTTTCTTCTATCTCTAGCATGTCTCATTTTTTTCTAAATTAAGAATGATCAAACGTTGTAATCTTACCTCACATGACAGTTGCCTCAGCCCCCTCTGTCCCTATATTATGAAGGTACAGAACCAGAATCATATATAATTATTGTAACTGTGGTCATGCTACAGATTTGTACAAAAGCATTATAGTTTTGTCAATCGATTTTTCATGTAATATTGAGATTAAGAAAAAGTAATCTGGGCTATAGCTGACTTAAAAAAAAAAAGTCACTACTGTACACTGTTACTGTACACTTACTATAGAACTGCAGTCTTCTGCTATTGTTACCCATATCCAATTTCATTAAGATGTCCTAAGTAAGACAATACTATATGCAAACTTATATAACTTGAAATAGACATTTTTCTATGAATATAGTTTCCTGCTTTATCAAATTTCTTTCTTAGAATATTCGTATACAGGCTCAAGAATGAGAAACAGCAGCTGCAGGTTAACATGGGTGCTAATACCTCCTTCAGTTTCTGACAGGTTCTAAACATCTTTAAAGATTATTCTAATTTAAAAATACATGAAAAGGAAAACGTGCTACAATACAAAGTAGAACTAGTTGGAAAGAACTTTATAGATTATCTAGTCCAATCTATTAAGTATTGGAATCCATTAAACCATCTCTTCTAGATTTAAACCCTGTTTAAAACCTCCAGTGAGGAGAAATCTGCCAGAGTTCTAGGCAGATTATTCCACTGATTACTAGCTCTTATGATAATTCCTAATACAGTATTCAGCCAAACTTTAATTAAATCCATTGATTCTTACTCTTTCAGTTTGAATGAGAACAGATCCTGTCCCTCTTGCCTTTGAGTCTTTTAAATTTGCAAACCACTCTGCCTTCCTCTAGAGTAGTGTTTCTCAACCTCGGCAACTTTATGTGTGGACTTCATCTCCCAGAATTCCCTGGCCAGCATTCCCTAGCCATCCATCCACACATCTTAAAAGTTGCCAAGGTTGAGAAACACTGCTCTAGACTTTTGTGCAAGCTCATTTAGCTCTCTCTCATAGGGTTTAATTTTCAGATCTCTTGATATCTTATCTGATCCTGTCCAGTTAGAGTTGGACATAATACAATATATCCAATGCAGAGTTCAGCAGAACTATTACCTTTTGTGATCTGGACCAAATGCTTTGGTTTCTGCAGCCCGAGACTGCATTGGACTTTTTAGCTGCTGCATCACATTGGTTGCTCATGTTTAACTGGTGATTCTATGGCACTCTTAGATCTTTCTCATATGCATTGCCACCAAACTAAGTCTCTTTAAATCTTTTTAAAAATAAAGTTGATTTTTCCTACCTGGATGTATATTTGTCAAAGATGATCATCCTCTTGGATTTTATGCATTGTTCAAGTCTGTTATTTTGAATTGTGATTTTGACCCTTAAGGTATTTTAGCTAATTGACCTTGCTTGATATCATACACTAATTTGATACATGTCCATTCAGTAGGATGTTTTATAAATATGTTGGCAGCACTGAATTAAGGACATAGGCCACTTAACTGTTTTCCCCCTTAAGAATGTTGCAAAACCATTTACTAGCACTCTTGGGGTAGGTTCAGTCAGTTGCAAATCCACCAGAATGCAAAATAGTCTAACCCACATTTATCCACCTTGTCCATAGGGATGACTCTTTAAAATGACTGAGGTCAAGATGCATTATATCCTTATCATTCCTTTGGGGTACTGAACTAGTCACTGTCATAAATAGGGTTCACTTGATGCCATTTGTTCCTGACCAGCCCATTCTGACTTACGTTACGAATACTGTAACATTTTCTAACTGTTCATAGACGTGTTGCTTGACAAGTGGTCATAGTGCCTTCCTCAGTACAGATGTTGAATTGAATGTTTTCTGTGTCCCCCACCCATTCCTCAATTATAAAGGTGTCTCTTCTGAGAGAAGACAGATGCAAAGGTAGTACACAATTCCATCTTCTCCCTATTCCACATTATTTCCCTACCTTCTCTGGGTGAAAGAACTCTTCTTTCATCCCTTCAAACAAGTTGTTTTGTATCTTTACAGCTCACCTAATTCTGAGCTTGACTCCACCGCTACAGGCGATATACAGAGATACTAGGTATATTCCTCTTTATTATCAACCCGAGTTTCCATATCCTCTACAAACCTTTTTGCTTCTCAACCTGCCAGTAAGTCTGCTATTCATCCATATAGCTGTCTTAAAACTTCCAGTCCCTATAGCGATTATTCAAGTCTATGCCTACATTTTTTAGGGTCTCCCATCCCTGTTTATTAATAATTTGGAGACACAGTATTTGCCCATCTTTCACCTGAGTTAAAATCTGCTTTCCTGAAGTTCAAGATACATGACTGACTTTTCATCAGTTAGTCTAGTTGTAACTAACTAGAACTCTGACCTGATTTTCCCCAAGACACTTTTTGTCCATCTCTTAATCTGTCTGTTGGATAGCTAGCCCTCATTTCTTCTTTCATCATCTGAAAAATACAATTCTTAGCAAAGGAGATAATATATTTCTATCTAAGAGAGCTTCCCATCAAAGGATAAGTGAATTACCACTGTAGAACTTGATGAGTTGATTTAGAAAGGCATTGTTCACATCTTCTGCTGAAGAAAAGTGGCCTGTAAGAAACTCCTACAATGGTATCCCTTTTATTTCTTACTCCTTTTAATTTTACCCAGATACTCTTAACATGATATTGAGGGATATGAATTTCTTCACAGACATATGGCTTTTAAAAAAAAACATAAAAGCCATTCCATCTCTTTTTGTTCTTTTGTACAAGTAATATGCTTTGAATATTATGTTCCACTCATGATTCTCATTCCATTAAGTTTCTGTGATACTTATCAGATTTGTTTTCCCAAGTTAGGCTTTCTCCTGTTACTTCATGTTTTAGGGAACAGAGCACCATTCTTACTTGCAAATCTCTTGGTGTTCTTACAAAATAAAATGGTTGGAGGTTACAATCTAGTGCTATGTTTGGAAATATGCTTAGAAAAGGGGGAAAAGTTAAACTAAAATGTTGGAATATTCTGGGGGCTATAGGGCTGGCAAGTAAAACCACACCAATTTATCTTCTGTGAGCTGGATGTTTTGTGATTGGCATGCCTATCATGGCAGCCAGTATGAATATAGAGACATTTTCTGAGTGTAACCACAACATATTCTCAAAATTTCAAATGTTACCACTAGCTACCTGAAAAAAGTTAACAGCTGAATGTAGTATCTGGGATATGGGTAGATAATACACCACCACTCCATCCATCTGTCAATTCTCATTCAGTTTTGGTAGTACAATGAAAACTTGTAAGGCAGTAAATAGTACAATTGTAAACAGTGAAATCAGAATACAAAAGTTACATCCCAAGCTATTTTGTCTATTACGTTCTTTTTTTCTAACATAAGGGTGTATAAACTTACTTGATATCCAACATTTTTATCGTTCTTTTAATTGGTTTAAACACCATGAATCTGCAAAAACCTTTAAACTCAAACCTCTGAGGCTAAGATTGTTTCATTAAGCTTTTTGTGGTGCGTACATTAAAATTTACAAAAACTTCAAAAGTAGCTGCAAAAATACTGTCTTCAAAAGAAAATATACTTTTTCTCTCTCAATTTCATGAAATCCTCCTAATACAATCCAGAAACTTTACAACAACAACAAAAAAATGACTTTCTAATACACTTTGCAATCAAGGCATCACCAGGTTTAAGGCCTTTCCATTGAGGGGGCTGGTGGAGGTATAGAATGAAGGTGTAAGTGAACGTAGGATCTTTGGAGACTTCTGTGCATTAAAAGTGGGGATAAAGCTGAGCTGATTTATCCAACTCAAGGGCTAGAACAGTTGTAGTGTCAAGATGCAATCAACCAGTTCAATTTATTATAATAAAGAAAAAATAGCATATGTTAATTCCGCTGACAGCTGCATCCCTCCAGAATGGCTTGGGCTTCAATCTCATTCTGCAAAGTTCTGTTCAAAGAAGTAATTTCAGGAGGTCCACCTAGAAAAACTGCAGACAGGACACTCCTTTGTTGTTCCTTCTTAAGAAGGGAATCAAGATCTTTATCTCTAAGACACACACCTTAAGTATTTTTGTCAACTATCTGGTACGGCATAATCATTAGAAAACACTTCAAGCATTTAGCTGATTGTGTTCCAGTGATGTGAGTGCCATTCAGTGCAGAGCAGGGTATGAAAAGAATCTTAACAGGGTATTGCAGACTTGGCATCCCATGAAACAGTACCCTGCTCAATTTTTACCCAGTGACATCAACTGTTCAATCAACATACACAAATTCTGGCATCTTATATTCATGCTCTCTATTCTGTAGGAACCTTGAGAAACATCTCTAGGAACATTAAAACACTATCAATGAGCTCCTGCCTCACACAGCAAGCAGAGAGAAAGATAATCCTGGTAATTAACTGTGTATGTATTCCAACAGAGAAGACTAGGTGCTTTTTGGATCCTGGAGCAGCAGAAAGACATTGACAGAGACTCTTAAGGAAAAGAAGTGCTTTAAGTACTGGGAGTACCAAGACTACTGTGGCTGAATGGAGTCCAATAGCAATCTTTATGTTAAGGCTGTTGCTGGGATCACTCAGCTTCCCAGTATCAAGGCACTTTTCTCTACAGGCCTTGGAAGGACCATGGATTCATTTTGCCTCTGCTCCACTCCCTGAGCTTCAGACGACCAGGGAACTATGGAAGAGGACAGTGTCTTCAGGCTGGTGCCGTTTCCAGGACTCCAAGCCCAATGAAGGAGATTTTGGTTTTTCACTGAAGTTGTCTCCTCTCAAGTCTTTCTGTAAAGTGAGGATGGGGACAGTGGTAGTGGCTTGACAAGACGAGAATGTGCCTGGTGGCATTGGGCTGGGAGAGGAAGAGAAGTCTCTGAACAGGAAGTCTACATTGGGAATAAGAGGTTTCACCAGGCTAAACTGGCAAAAGGCAGAGCCAGTTGGATTGAAGTGGACTTTGTTCTTATCAGGACAAGAGGGCAGGACAGGCTGATCAGGCCTAAAAAAAAAAATCAGAATTAAAAGTTGTAAGGCATATAAGAACTAATGCCAACAAGTGTTTCAGATTTTGATAGGTTACAGGATGACAGTGCAACAAATAAGAATTTTTTAAAAATATGCATGAACAAGTGTTCTGCCTTTCTGGATTTTGTACTTTACAGCAAAAGTGTGGGAGATGGCCAGAAACAGCATGGTACAATAGTAATGTTTGTTGTACAGCATGGAGTTTTGTACAACAAACCTTACCAGACTTAGAAATTTTCAGTTTACAAAGAGCACATTCTTTATGATAGTGTCATAATTCCATTTATGTGCATAGCAGCCCATCCAAGGGATACTATGGCTACCTAGAAACACAATGCAAGTATTAAAGCATTTAAGAATCACTTTTCAACTCTAAATATTATCAATCCCAAACCAATTTTGTACATAGAATCAACACTGATCTGCTTTGGCAATGAAGCAAAAATAGATGGGTTGCATGCATACATTTGAAGCTCTACTCTAGCCTTTCTCACAATAAACTCAGTCCATACCACAAATGGGTTAAATCATATTTTGTTGATGGGCTAGAACAGAAAAGACATCTAGGTGAATTTTTTAAACAACTATATTAGAAGTCTGATGACACATATTTTATCTTTATTGTTGCTCACTTTGCACTTTTAATATGCAGCACAGGCAACATTTACATATTTAGTAAAACAGGTGTCATGAGTTTGAGAGTACGAGTGGGGAGAACAAGACTACCCTGAGTCAGTCCCTCTCTTAAGTTCAGCTTGTCTTTCAAGATTGCTGTAGTGATAAGAGATGGGTAGATTGTAAAATAATCTCTTTGAAAGACACTTAATATAAAGATGACAAAATAGTTGTCTATCAATGCTTCATGGAGTCATTATATGCAACTCAGATTAGAATTGGTCTTTATCTTTATCATAATTTCTATCAGTATTATATGAAGGGCAGTTCTCTACTTGATCCTTCTCGATTTTTTGTTCTATCACCTATGGTTACAAAAGGTAAATGTAACCTCCTACTTACACCACTTCCTCAAAAGCATGGATTTTTTCACACCCCTCCGGAGGCTCCCGCTTGAACACGTAGGTGTGGTTGGGACGAGGAGACAGGGCAAAGGCAAAGACTGGAGAAGTGCTGCCATTTTCTGGAAAAGGAAAATTAGGGAAGAGAACACATTCAGTCAAATAAATGCAGAAGCACTGAAAACTCAAATAATATGCCAGCTTTACCAGATACTAGCAAGATTTCTGATCCTCAGATGGAACTATAAGCAAATAGAGTTATACCTCTGATAGAACTGAAATACTGAAATGAAATCCTACTAACTATTTTCATGGGACTTGGGGCTGCTCAAGCAGTAAATTTCTCATATAATGCAACGGAATGGTCTTAAAACAAGTAACTCTCACAACTTGGACATTATTAGAGGAACAAACTCCAGAAACTTGTTTTTAAAAATGCATTTCATTACATATTAAAGCTGTTCTAGTAGCACTGCCTGTATATGTGTCTTACACATCCAGCACTCCCAATATGGAAAACTCAGTTCCTAAAGAAGCAAACATTAAGTCTCACCATGTTTACACAACAACACCTTCATATCAGGGATGTCCACAGTGTATGCTAAAAATAGTGAAGATGGTATCCATGACACACAATGCACATAAAAACTAGGTGAAGCTTTGACTGCACCATAGCTACTATCTTTTTTTACCACATCCTGCAGACACCCCTGTATTAAGGATTAGTTGTCTATGTCTCCTATCCTCTCTCTGACATGCACATATTGCCCTGTTTCCTGCAAGTTAAGTTGGTTTTAGAACACTGCTCAGATTCCATTTTATATTTTAAAGTCTTATTCCTTATTTCAAGTTCAAAGAATCCTTATGATGGTGCTCATTAATAGCTTTAATGTCTACAAGTACATCTCTATTTCCTTCTCTTTGCATGGCTCAGTATTTCTTCCTTGCCTTGTCTACTGGGAAGCTTACTAACTTGTAGCCAATCCACATAGAGATGGGGAGATCTTTACACTGCAGTACAATCAGAACTTGGACTTCTACATTTCTCTTCACTGGAAATACAATAGCTTGAGTCAGTGTGAATGATTCTACATTTCAGAGTAATGGGTGGTAAATCAATAAGAACTGCCTTTAAGAAGAGAATTATATAGCGTCAATGTGAAACTGTGACCATAAATCAGGTGTGGGTAACCTGAGCTGTCAGAATGCATGTGGTCCCTGGACCCCTTTTAACAGTCTACAGAACAACCTCTGACCACAGTTGCCAAAAATTCTCCCAATTGTTTGGGAGAAGAAACATGCCCTAAAATAGACGTAACAATTTATAAAACACAGAAGAAAAAAATCACATTACCTCCAAAATGCCAAGGGAAAAAATCACATTTTTTCTTCCAACCACTTTGTACCATCATCTTGGCCACTTCCAAAATGTTTAGTCCCCAGCCATCAAAACATTGCCCATCCAATAGACAAAATCAGACCCAAGTGTTTATACCAAAGTAACTGCAACTTTGTTTATACTGGTTTATATACAATAAAGACCTCCCCTTTTTCATTCCTAATCCTTCCAGTTGCTGAATGTCAAAGACCATTTAAAACAACAAGCCAATAAACCCCCTGTTCAATGCACAATTCTTCAAAGACTCTATACAACAGCAGACTGCTACTAACCTACCCAACTTACCTCTTCCTTTGGCCTCCAACACTGGCTTGTCCAAAGCCCCAGGCAAAGCTTCATCAGTTGTTATTCGGGCAGGAATATATGGGGATTGTCCAAGAGCAGCTGAAGGGGATGGAGAAAGAGAAAGGCTGCTGCAGCTGCTACCGCTGTTTTCCAGCTGTGGCAACAAGGAATCCCCAGGGCCTCTCTGGAGGGGGGCTGGGGCTCTGTGCCCATCCGGGACATCCAAGATCTAAGAGAGAGGACACTTTTTAAGCACAAAGAAGCAGGCAGGAGTGAGTAGAGCCATGGGGAGGCCTGGACAACATTTTTAAATATTTAAAGCATTTTATCCCTCTTCTTCCAAAAACACTCCTATAGCAACTTACATAACATTAATATTGACAAAGTGTAGCCTATCAGCAGGCTTACAGTTACTAAGAGAAATCATTCAGGGAGAAGAGAAACAAATGAAGCTTGTCTTCCAGATATATCTGATGGAACAGCTCCCCTTCCCATCTCCTTTTCCTCTGTTGTAGCTTGATGGAATATTACTATGCATTGGAAACAACAGTATGAAGGGGCAGAGGACCGGAAAATCCAAAGGACTAACATTCATTTTCCCCACAATATCATATCCTATAAATAGGAATGCCCATAATTTAGATTAGATGACAATAATTGATTTGGGTGCAAGGCAAAGAGTAAGCTGCAGTGACACCATCATGAAATCTGATTGAGATGCAACTATGCTTTGGTCAGTGAGCAACATCGGAGCCGCACTGATTCAACTTTGCGGGAGAGACAGCAGAAGGTTAAAGACCGCATATATCAATCCTCAGTGAGGGTGGCATAGGTCAATAGTTGCTACCAGTATTGGACACAGCATCTGAAAAAAGTCAATAATAAGGAATCAAATGCACTGCAGGTGCATGTGACAAACTCCCCTACTTTTCCTTTTTCCCTTTACAAAGAAACCATTGGGGATTTACTTTTTCTCATAGACACAACTGTTATAAACTCTACTGCATAGCCTCCTTGCTGGGTTGGGGGGGAGTGTCTTTTTCTTTATTACCATTTTGTACTGCTGCCATCACTAAACCCGTTCAAGGATTCAGAAATTCAGACAGTTTCTACCTAACCTCAGCAAATTTAAGATTTGTGGACTTCAGCCCTAGAGTTCCCCATCCAGCACTGCCATTGCTAAGAATTCTAGGGGTTGAAAACACATTTTATAGCTACTGAGGTTGGGAAACACTGCTGTAATGTAACACAACTAGATGGAATGTGAGGAAGACATAAGTTTGCACAGATGCTTGGTTAACACAGGAACATATTGACTTCTATTAAGCCACTAAGAATGGGGTTTTAAACAGGTTCATCTATTTCTCTAATTATGTATACCTTGTAAATACCAGCCTACCCCAGCCCTAAAATTATTCCTAATGTCTCCCCATCAGGGGGAAATATTCTCAGGCTAGAACTTTGAGCCTGTCTCAAGCCTGGTTTCCACCTGTTCCCCCCAAATCCCTTTCTCTAAGTTCCTCCCCCTGCTGGAATATAAACTGAGAGGAGACGCCCAGAGTTGCTATTCTCTGACTGGCAGTTCTACCACACAATCATTACAATCTCCTGCAAAGCAGAACATAGTTTGTCCTCAACAGTGGACTTTACACGTTTGCTCTATCTGATGGGTCAGCCCTGTGAAGAACAGTGCAGTGTAGATCTCTCTGAAATGTATTCTGCACTTCATATAGCATACTATACTCAGAGGAAATTATGATATCTAGAATTTCACTTTCCTCATTAATGAGAGGTTGGAAATTTCAAGGTAGAGAATCCAAACAGAAGGAGCTTGGTAATTTAAACTGGCAGTACAAAGACTGTCCAACAAAATTGACATGTCCTGAGTTCCAGATAAGATGGCTCTTGTATCTTGCCCCACCAGCCATAACTCACTCTGAGGAGTTCCTCGTCTCCTTGCTCTTTTACAAACACCTCTTCCAATTCCTGATTGATACCGTCGAAACTGTTGTGCAAACAGGGGCTGATCGATACAGTGGTCAGGACTGGAAAGGATGCAGGTGGGGAAGCCTACAAACAAGGACATGCAATGTTGTATCAAGAAGCCACCAACGCCTTGGTACAAGCATAAAATATTCTCTGAGGTGGACTGGTGGCCCATAACTTTGTGGCCCATCCCTCCCCCATCAGTTATGAACATATGAAATTGCTTTAGGATTTGGCCATTAGTTCACTGATCCCAGATAGTCTGACAACTGCTCTGTTATCACAGTGCACTTATTTCATGGTTTAATGGACTATGCTTGCTAAATTTCAATTTTTTTAGTTTGCACAACATACTGAACTATAATCTGCCTGCAAGGATAACACGTTAAGCTAATATATGGTTGGCTCATTGTGTCGCTTAAATACAGCCAATGGCTCTTAAAGATCTTTCTAACTTAATGTTGTTCCAGACACTGAGCCTGAGACCATCTGCATATCAATCAGGTTCTTATGCTGAGCACTGGACCTTTCTCCGATTGTCAATGGAATATGAAGACAATTGGGAGAATGGACTGATAATGGTATGGCTGATATAATCTGATGTGCCTGGTTCATGCTGCAGCTCAGCTATGGATTCTAGTGGAGCTTTAAACAAGTCATGCACAATCTCAATATACAAGGCTAATATAGTCAACAGACACACAAAAATATAACCATATTCCTTACATTATGCCTTAGGTTGAAGAAAAATAATTGCTCTGGCTTCCCTATGTAAGCCACTAAGAACTGAATACTTTAGGCCATTTTTTTCCTCAATAAAAGTCTCTTTCTAAACAGTCCAAGTGAGTTTGTTTGCTGCCATTTTCTAACAGGAACACTAAAGAAAAGATACAAAACATACCTTGGCTGATGAAACCACACTATGATTGCCTTGAACGGGAGAACTCTGGTCTTTCTCTTTGCCATTCCAAGCACCAAGCTTTGTTCGCTGGAGCTGCTGTTTCAGTTTAGCGATCTAGAGAATGAAAAGTTAACTAGTCTTGAGTAATGGATTAGATGAGGGATTAATAAACTGAGATGCAGTCCCAAAAAGACAGATATATTGATGGTGGGTAATTCATCTGTTCAATTAAATGGTGCCCATGCAGTTCTGGAGGGGTTGCACTCTCTCTGATCAAGTACATAGATAAGGGGTACAGACATTTCAAGACTTGCTAGTTTCACTCAGTTCTATCATTACTATTACAGTAGTTCTTACTGCTTTGTGTAACGCTGATTTCTTATATTTTAAAATGTTTTTATTTTTATTATATGCTGGCCTTTCATAAAGTCTTAAAAACAGGCTTTTGTGTCTGAGCCTGGGGTGTGGGATGGAGCCTACTCCTGGCTATGTTAATGGTGGTTTTTATGATTCCCGGCTGTTGTGGGTTTTGGTTTTTGTATTATATGTTTTTTTAAATTTATTTTATTGTAAGCCACCCAGAGTCACATTTGTGAGATGGGCAGACATATAAATCAATTAAATCAATAATTTTATTAGATATTGTATTAATTGGACTTCAGTGCAAATAAATAGATACTTCAAGAATGATCTCACTGTATAGTGAGACAAAAAAAAGCATTCTAGTATTTTTTAGTAATAGACTAGACGGAAATAAATATATGCAATTAAAGTTATCAGAGCAGAGCAAAACCCATTTAATGTTTCAAACCTTGCAAACAAATTCCATCTCTGAGCTCCAGTTCCAAAGGATCATAATTTTTGTTGTTTTTGTTATACTTCCCTTTTAAAGAGCAATCATAAGCAGCACTCATACGCCTCTGCAACTGGCCTAACACTGAATATGAATAGGATGTATGATTTTTAAAATAAAAAAATAAAATAGACGTACTAGACCTACCTGCAGAGTAATACATTCTTATTTTCAAGAAAAGAACAGAAAATAATGCCACTAAGACAAGAAGTACTCCGGCAGTTTAATCCCTTTTGCACGTTGCATAGTGGTAAGACAAATGGCGTTTGACGTACCGAGTGAACATCTTACCTCTCTACGATGATCTACGCTATTCCATGAGGCCGATCGCTTATGAGCTGCAACTTTTCCCACCTCTGATTCATGCCAGGATACTGGAGTCTGAAAGAGGGAGGAAGGGAGGACTGTGTCACTTTTGGATTGGGCCAACATTTGGAAGTTTAAAGAGGTTAGTTCTGTGGCAATTTTCTTCCTAAGAGCTATTCTGAAAGCATAGTGATGGTGGAATTATTCCAAAACCATAGAATTGAAAAATATGAATCTCTTTCCTGTACAGAAAAAGGTGTGCAGCAAAGCAACACACATGCATTGTTCACATTTTCCTATAGGTTTTTTTTTTGGCTACTACAAACACCATACATAATACATCCTTGAATGAAAAAAAATACTAAGAATTTTTCAAGAAACACAGAAGAGGGTTTTTTTCCATATCAGATTCTTCTTTGGGTGGAGGGTGATAGGGTAAGTACTTCAAATTAAAGTTCTCATAACTTTTCCTCCATGAGAATAATCCTAGAAGTGATTTCAGGCAAGAAAATCTTGCACACCCACACTTGAAGTACTGATATCCAAGAGGAGCTTGTTCCATCAGCACCACTATGCCCTGAGTGTTTTAAAATTATAAAGTCTTCTTGGGTGCCTTCGTAGAAAGGCTGGAAATCTGATGCCCTCTAAATATGTTAGGTCAGTGTTTCTCAACCTTAGCAACTTTCAGATGTGTGGACTTCAACTGCCATAATTCCCCAGCCAGCATGTTAGGTTATTCTAGTCATACTGGCTAGGAATTCTGCGAACTGCAGTCCTAGCATATCTGAAAGGTACCACGATTGAGAAAAACTACATTAAATAAATAACACTACATGTATATGAGCCCAAATATATTTCAGATTCCACTCACTCAATTTTCCCAGGGACATCAAACTTTCCCACACTTTATGGTAGGTGGTCACTCTCGGAGCCAGAAATGAGAGACCAGGTGGAGTAAGAAAGAAAAAACTAGGTCACATAGTCTCAAGTCTTAGTGGCAGTCTCAATGCAAGTACAACCTTCCCCTTTGGGATGTTGGTTGGGGAATTATAGGAGTTGAATTCCAAAACAACTGGAGAGAACTAGATTAGGAAGACTGATAGAAGAAGAACATTGTTTGAAGATAAGGATCAGCCACTGAAGGGTGTCTGGCAATTATTACCCATTATCGCTAATCATCTGCAAGGCTGCTGTAAGAAAATATACACTTTTGTAAAGAAAAACTCATTCAATTAAGCAGAACGGCCTTTCCCTGCAACTGCTGTCAAGTAGCATGCTATGCAACTATGGCCAACTGGTACATTCAGTGCCCAGTGTTGGACTGCACAGAAGTGAAGGTGACTGCAATATCCAAAAGGGCAGAGTACTTCCAGTATATTTCTTGCTTAGATTAAGCATTCCATACTCCCCATTTACAGTATCAACTGAAAAGGAACATACTTTCTTTCAACAGTTCAAGTGACTGAGCTGCTAAAACATTTGTATTTCCATCTTTCTACATATACACTATCCATCACAATTAAGTATCAAGATTTTCTCTGTATCTTTTGATTTTCTTCAGCCTGATTCTCTAATTTCCAAATCTAGAACAGGTTTCAGGAGAATTCATTTTGTATCCCAAGCTTCTGCTAGACACGCTGCCAAAAGAGCATAAGGGGCCTTTCCAGCACACAAAACTGACCTTCAACAGAATAGTTGTTATAAAATAGAAGCCTAGCAGCTGTTTCTGCAAACAGCTATGTTGAAGAACCTTGCAGTGACAATGGATGGCACAGCCTGAACAGCTGAGCAACTGCAAGAGTTTAGGGGCCAAAGAACAACATTCCCAGTGAAAAGGCTTAGCAAGGATAAGGAGCTGAGCAGCAGAGAAGCTGCAGACAAGGGGGTAAATACTGTTTGCCAAAGGCCCCACCTCTCCTAGAAGTACCCACAAGTGCTATGTTAATGCTGTGTGAATAGTGGCCTCTCTTTTGTTTAGCAAGCATTTTAAGGCAGAAGCAAATACCAGCCACACCTAAATATCACCATGGCTGTGAATCTCGAGAATAAAAGTAACTGACCAATTGCAGAAATTGGTAGCCATGGGAGGCTATTCCACCCAAGCAAACAAGGGAGGCTCACACAGGCTACAGAAGTGTGTTACAAACCTCTGGCCACGATGCCAAAACCAAACCCCTGCCTCAAATCAGGGTGGGATAGCTTCCTGTCCCAGTGACTGGCTTTCAAACTGCTCGGCTGGCCTCTACAAAGAAAACCCACACCATGCTGCAGTAGATAGACCAGTTACAACTGAAGTTTATTTCTCTGTTTCTATCAATGCACAGATGGGATCCTCAAGAACAGCCAGTTCCCCACACACATCTCCATCCTAGGCTTCCCCAAGAAGCAAGCCTGGGAAGAAAACTGAGTGTCTATATGCTGACTATATCGAAGGCTTCAAGAAGCAACCTCGGTGCATTACCTCACTATAAATTTATCTGGAGTATGTATCTTAGTTGAAGACAGTTAGTTGAACTGGTATAGGAGTGTGTATCATGGGGTACAAAACTTTTCCTGTACTGAGGACCATATTTGGCCTTTGAGTGCATCCCATACTCAAAATGTACTGGGTGGAGCCAGAACTAAAACTTAATTTTCACTTACAGTATAACTTTAATTATAACAAATGTCTTTACTTCCCAGTAAGCATTTAATAGTTTTCTCCTACATTAAAAACTGCAACTTGGTTAGGGCTTGGGGCCTCGAGTTCTGCAGCTCTGCTTTAAAGCACATTACACAAATTTCCTTCCCCGTGATTTGTTCAGAACTCAAGATTTGTCCCCTTTCACCCTTGCCCACTCCCAGCCATAAAAGATGGCACAGTCTAATCAACTGCAAATGTGTGTTTCAGCACCTGTCCGGTAAAACTGGCAACCAAGAGAGAACCTCACTTTTAACCCTTCTCTGTGCCCAACACTGAAATCAGGCAGCCTGTTAGAGGAAGAAGCCAAAAATGCAATTCTCTGCCCCCCCCCCCCACTGGTTCTTCAGTAGGCTAAGAAAATGTTTTATTGATTAGAGACTTTTGAAACTCAAAATTCTATGATAATTTTAAAAGCCTTAACATAAAACTTATTGAAATCACTGTATTCAGCAAGTACAGACTCAGTAAATTTCCTGCCAAAAGTAGGAAATGTTGGTCCCTCCTTGCCTTTAGGAAAGCTGTAAAGACTTACTTGTTCTGTCTTGCAAAGAAGGAGAGGGTGTTATGACTGAAGATGGGGTTCGTGGGCACACAAGTTTATCCTTTCTGGTTTTATATATTGACTTTTTATTTTTAAATAAAATAATGAGCACTTGGGAATGGATAGCATACAAGTACAACAAATAAATAAGTAAAACACTGTGCCTGGAAAAGACAGTATGGGGACTGCCTTGCAGTCCAGGGTCAGTGCATTAACTTCAGTACTCTGGGGAAGGCAGTCATGCCAATAGCAAGTCAGTAAAGACAATTAACTGGCTGGCAGATTTTATGCTTGTCACACCAGTCTCAGCAGACAGCAAGGCACAAATTCTCTAGTCTCAAATGAATACAGTAGTACACAAGATCTGGTTTGGAGTTGATGGGTACAGGGGAATTCCACTCAGTTGCAACAATACAGACTGTCCTAGGGCGGTCTGACTTTAAATACCGTATCTCAAGGCTAAGCCTTCTATGGTGTGGTAGAAAGTTTCCAAAGCCATTATGCTAACGGTGGTCAAAACAGTTTCTTCCAAGCAGGAAAGAAGAGGAGGAAAGTGCTTTGAGAAGCAATCAAGTCTGAAAACCACAAGGACAGATAATCTGCAGGAAAGGCATACCTCAAAAGTCTCATCCCCAAAGGTTTAAAATGTTTTGCGTTTACAGCAGATAGCGAGCCACACACAGCAACCGCAAAATGTGCAGAGAAGGAAGGTATATCTATAAGATAGAAATCTTAAAGATTGTGGGCGCCTTGTTTCAGCTCATTCTGTGAGCATGAGTGCATGTATGCATGCAGTCAAACCAACGTTTTGCTCATAAGGGAAATAGATATGTAGAGGGTTGAAATACCTTTCCTCATTCAAACTGTTGGTTGTTACATAGCTTAGTTCTAGGCCATCTATTGGATTCCAGAAGGTCTATCCTGTTTGATCCATCCATGAAGGTATGCATTGAGTTCCTCCTTGGCAGATCAAGGTGGAGATGTATCTAGAAACAGCCCCTTTCATACCTTCTCTCTCTATGGAATATGCTGTCCCATGAAGTCTGTACGACATCCTCCCTACATTCCTATGTTTTTGTAAAGCAACAAAGATCTGGCTCCTTAGAACAGACTGTCCAGATGAAGAATAGTCACTTGTTTTATGTTATTATTGTTACGTAATAATGGTTATTCTTTTATGAGTTTTTATTTAGATGTTAGCCACCTGTATTTGGGCAAGATATATTAGTAAATAAATAAATAAAATTCTGGTGCCCTACAGATGTGTTGGATTTCAGTTTCCATAATCCCCAATCAGTAAGGCCAATACTATCTGGGGATTATCTATATACTATAAAACTCTCATGTCTGTAACCCTGAACTGGATGAAATGGTACATCACAGGGCAACAATTTTTGAACCAAGGTGCCTCAAATGGGCTAACTTACAGAATGCATCCAAAATCCAGGACCCATTACTCCCATAGGACTGAAATTTGTGGCTGCTTCAGCACTGCTGTGCCACCATGGTCAGCCCAGGTCACATGATCATCATGGGCATAACGTCTTTCCTGCCTCCCTTTGTCCCCTGCGCCCAATTGGCTGGTGGCAAGGCCCAATGGACAAGTGGCGATTGGCTGCTTTGGAAATGAGGCTGAAATCTGAAATCTCTTAATGGCTGTGGGTGCTGAGGAAAGGACGAGAAAGTAACTTGGATGTCTGCTGGGAAGGTAGGGCTGGCTGGGGGATGCCGGTGGTCGACGGGTGAGCCTTCTTCCTCCCTCAAGGGAGGAGGCTTTGAGGACACATCGGGATGGGGAGTGTGGCTGCAGTTTTCCTCATGTTCCACAGGTGCCTTTGTTCCACCTTCCACCAGCAAAATGAGAGGCAGTTCTATGGGTGAGCTGAGGAGGCGGCGGCAGCGGCTTCACCAGGGCTCTCCTGAGGGTCAGGAGCAGAGGGCAAATGGTACAAGCCTATATTATATATGGGAGGGAG